GATGTGAATGACTTGGTGTTCACTGGTCAGCGTGTCAAATGGATCATTGATGAGAAGCCCAAGCACAAGTCTCACATTACTGTTGAACAGTCCCTGTGTGTCAGTGAACTTACTGAGGTTGTCGTCCCTAAAGGTTCGAAGGATGAAGACAAATGTGACAAAGATCTCCACACTGCCTATAGGTCACTCTTAGGTAGTATCAACTGGTTACAATCAAAAAACCCAATTTCAGTCATGTTATCAGTTTTCACGTTGTGCTTCTGCCGCTGCTGTGCCCACTATAGGTGATTGCAAGGCGTTGAACAAATTGTGCAGGCAAATCGTAGGTGACCCGATGGAACTTATGTTCTGGCCACTTCAAGGTGATCCTAGGTTAGCTGCCATGCCTGATGCAGCGTTTAGGAACAACAGCGACAAATTCTCACAACGTGCCATGGTTATCCTCATGGCTGAACCAAGAAAGGAAAAGAGTGGAAACACCAAGGGTTCTCTAATTTTCTTTGAATCAACCAAGATCAAACGAACAACTTTGAGCACCACTGTTGCAGAGTTGTATGCACTGATGAAGTGTTATGGAACATGTCAGATGTTAAGAGGACTTATCAAGGACATCACTGGACTTTCAAGATTCACATGAGGACCGATGCAAACAATCTTGTGACTACTGCCAGTACTACTCATGTTCCTGAACAACAAGAGACCATTCATATGATTCAGATGTTGAGAAAAGAAGCATGTTCTGGTTCTATTGCTGATTTATCACACATCAAAACTCAATGGTATTTAGCTGATTGTTTGACCAAAAGTTCTGCGAATCCTCAGAATCTTATTGATGCTGTTAGACAAGGTGTTCTTAAAGAAGTGGATGCTCATCCTCCTTTCAGATCATTACTGGAACACAAGGCTTACCTCAGGTCATGGTTGCCTACAGTTTGCAGTCATGTTGATTTCAGACATGATGTATTTCTGTTAGGTGACACCCTGAGGGATTCTTGACTATTTTTTTGAATTTGTGCCTGCGGCTCAAGAGGTAATAGAGTCTCGAAGATCGCACTGCTTTTTCACCATGTCGAGCTCTAGCCGGTGGAACAGAACCTCAGCCGCTGAGGCACCATCCTCTAGCACAAGGCAAGAATTTCCGGATTCCCAGTATGATGATGAGATTAGAAACAGGATGCCACCTGAGGGATATGCTCGACGAAAGCGTGACGCAGTCCCATCAGAAAGCCGGAGAACACCAGCCACACTACCAAAGGAAGATCATATGGCATTCAGTGCAGGATACAGACTTGAGACAACGTGGTTTCAGGGCAAGGAAGTTGTGACTCAAAGACGCAAACGCAATATGCACTGTATCCTTGGACCAAACAACATGAGTCCCTTTGATAGACATCAGATGTGCATGAATGTTATTTCCTGGATTCTCTATTTGGGCTCAGAACATCAAGAGTTTGATGTGGCCATCAAATGGTTGGCTGAGTTCCTGAAATATCTCTGTGGTTATACAACCCAAGATGAAGAAGACTGGCTTGACACTCAATGCAACAGCTACTACATCGATCTCACCACCAAGGGCAGAAACACGAACTTTACCAGGTGTAGCAAGACACTCTCAAGAGAGTTGAGACACTGTTCAAAAACCTATTTGTTTGACCCACGCGGTGGAATGAACATCGTTGATTTATTCGATCTGATGGAAGGAAACAGTCCAAAACGTAATGGCATGACTGGCGCACAGTTTGCAGCATTTCTGCTGTGCAATCCCAAACAAAGATTCTTTGTTGGCATCGACATGCAGTGGGAATGGTATCCATACAGCTCAAGGGCAACATATCCATTCGATGTGAGACTGAGTTGCACACAAGGACATTCCAACGAAGTTGTTGGTCCTTGGTCCATACATCATCCACTGACTTATGATGAAGCAATGTGCTTGGGATGGATTTTTCATGCGACAGACAAATCCAACATGAACTCTATTCAACGATATGGCCTGAAGACCAAGCCCAAAAGAGGTGAACGAGGTGGAAGAGACGCAGCACACTTCATGTATCACAATGACAATGGTCAGGGCTATATAAGGATGGCAGAAGGCACTACTCCACCACGTCATTACAGACAGCCATCTTATCTAGTGTTGGATCCAGAGTTCCTTAGGAGCCAGCAGCTCTTCCTCGCAAAGAACGGGGTGATTTTCGTTTATGATGATATCCCCTCAAGATTTTTGCACCAACAAGATCAACTCCCAACGTTGGCATGCAATGTCTTGACAAGAGGAAGAGGTCATATGCTACCTCCTTCTGTCACTGGTGGAACGTGGCCAGCTGATGCGAGTTATGAACATGTTCGACGTGAGAAGGGCATTAGTTTTGTTCCTGGAGGTCCCATTCCTGACAACATCAGGACAACAGCATGGCAGTTCATGGGCCAGGAAATTCCTCAGAACTATGGGAGACTTGTTTTTGGCCTTCCCCTGGCAAGAGAGGCTGATTTTGATCCCAAGAATGAATCAATCCATGCTTTGATATCAGAAGGCTCTCAGCAGCGAGAGGAATCTGAAAAAGATGATCAGCCAATGGGAAATCCATATGAACAGCCATCCAGACGTGCAGGAAGCTCTCAGCAGCGAGAGGAACCTGCAGATCAGTGGGAACAACAACGTTCATCATCAGGAAGTTCAGAACCTCCCACAAGATGAACAACCTTCACCAGGACAAGAACCACCGTCTCCAGTACAAGAACAAGTTGATCTTACAGAAGATGATCCCATGGGTGAAGAGGTAGTAGATCTTTGGGAAGCAGAAGATCCACCTGATGAAGATTATGTTGTCGAAGCAGCTACACGATCTTCTATTTCTGCATCAAATCCGAGGCAGGCATTATTTGTGCTCGATATGAAGATGGCAGTATCAAGCCCAACTACTATGGAGAGAAGGTCATCACTCTCAGAGAATGGGGATACTTGCTTGGGCCTCAACGTGTTGCCTTGAGAAGGCAGTCCATAGGACGTGCTGACTGGGAGAAGCGTCCATGGACAGGGCATCTTTGTTACCTTTTTACTAACCAAGCTTGGGAGATGGGTCGACTACGTTCACACCTTCAGAAGACAAGACAGTATGAAAGATTGAGAACCTTCCTGGAAGACTGTAGAGCAGTAGACGCAGACTGGATGAGAAAGCAACTTGAACCACCCGGATGGTCAGAAAGATTCACCATCGAACGAGAGCACTGGTCAGAGAATTGGCTTCTCTATGAGCGAGATGAAGCAGTTCAACAAGATTTTGAATGGCTTGTAGAGGCATCGTTTAAGTTCTACCAGAAGCATCTCGACAAGTTGATCAGAGAAAACGACAGAATGTGGGGAGACTTCTGCAAGAGAGAGGTTGACAAGGATGGAAATGATACTGGAAGATTAGAGTTGAACACACGTGGATATGACATGACAGATCCAGATGTTGAAGTACCAATGAACAAGAAGACTGCCATTCCAGATCCAGAAGCTCATTTTTCATTCTCAACCAATCTCACTGTTTTGGCCATTGGCCTTTATCAAAATGAAGCTCCTCGAGATTTTTGTCCTTACGCTGTCTTTGCATTCAGAAGCTCACTCAGTTTGTGGACAGCAGGAAGGAGATGACAGCCCAATCTTACAGATTCTTTGTGGAACATGCCTACAATCAATTTTTCCAGCATGGAGCTTTTCATCAATCTGCACGAGCAAGAACGAAAGTGAAAGATCTCAATGGAGGTGATTTTCATACATCCAAGAAGCTTGATGGGTATATTTGGACTGCAATTGACAGCAAGTTCACACATATTCCAAAAGATCAAGCTGATGATCTCAACATGGATGATGAAGTTGATGCAGAAGATGACGAAGAAGTTGAGTTTTTACCACAGCTGGATGTTGCCGTTAGACCTCAGGCAAAAGAAGATGTAAGCTCTCTGCAGCGAGAGGAAACATCCCAACAAACAGGAGACTCTGTTCAGCCAGAGAGGCCTATGTTGGAGATCAGAAGTGGTCAAACACCTGAGGAAAGATATGGTATGCATGTTGTAGGTCAACTCACACCAGAATATCAAGAGCTATTGAGAGATCTTGCATTCAATTCACAGCAGCTGCTCACAGGTGATGACAGAGAAGGCAGACCACCGATGCGTCGTGATCAGATTAGCTTCTTTGGGATGGTGTTTATGATGGAGTACATGGTTGATGAATCACACAGCAGTTTCATGGATATCTTTGTACCATCAACTCACACTGACATCACTGATGAAAAGTATCATGAATTCAGATTGGCACTCAAGAAGGTCAAGGAGGAGAACCAATATCTTGGGCCAGACAACTTTGAGGATGTTGAAGAACCAGACCTCATGGATGATGATCCCAACATTCCACTTCAACGTCGAGAAGATCAAGGCCGAGGTGATCCTGAATTCAAGGGTACCATTGAGAATTTGAGTCGTGAAAACAAGCACATCATTTTGGAAACTGAGGATGCTGTTTTGATTGAATGCGCTGTACAATGGCTCAGCATGTATCACAAGACCATTCAGAAGAAGATTATGGAGAGGGTTGTCAAGAAAGAAGAAGAAGAAGAAGAAAAAGATGCTAAGGTTGAAGAAGACCAAGAAGAACCACCGGAGCCAACTGTGCCAGCTCCAACAATGAGCATCAGCAGCCGAAGGGCCAGACGCAGCTGCACCAACGGTCTTAGGAGCCATGGCTATGAACCAAAAGGCAACGTACAAAGCGAAAGGCGCGTTTCAAATTTTGTCAGGTCTGATGACCAAAGCTTGAGCCAAAATGGCAGGGCCATTTTGGCAATATGATTCCGACAACACATTGCTTCTTTTCCGCAAGCTCCACGCAAGTACAAAATATACAACGATAAATAGACTATGAAGAAAACTGTAAAAATAAGAAATGGAAGTGATACATCATCAGATATAGGCATATCTTAGGGAAGACATGTCGAAACTGGTCGAATCGTTCCCGCCTGGGCCTCTGCCTGGCTGGCCTTCAACTGTTGGAAGCTCTCCAACAATGCAGACACGCAGCTGCAACCAGCAGAGTCCATCGCGTCAGCCAATGCCTGTGAGCTACTTGGACTCCTCACCCGACTCAAGTGGTCTTGGTTGTTTGGAAAAGGATACCTGGTAGTTCATGCCGCTGAGGAAATTGTACAAGATTAGAACTGGGACAAATAGCCTTAGCTCACTTATCATTTGGGGCTAGTTGTCCCGTATGGTAAACGGCATTCCACCCACCTTCTCAAACGCATCCACCGACGAGACCAGGACTCTTGCCTGTTTCAGCTCCTGGGCCGTGAAACCATGACGTACGGTATCTGATAAGTTCATTTTTCGGGCCTCTCGGGGCCATCGCTGTAAGATCTCGCAGTCAACCTGAAAGGAGATCCAACAGAAATAGCTGGCTGTAGATGACTTTTGGTTGAGCTACAGTCCTTTATTCACTGATGGCTGACGATGAATGGTGATGAATGGTGATGAAGGATGATATGTTCCAACCTGTTTTTGATTTTCGTAGAAATTTCAACAAACCTCGTAAAACTTGTAACTCTTTGGGGGGTCGGCTTGAGCTTCGGGAATTCACGCCAACACTTTGTTGAGGGTTGTTTTTCTTTCAACATTTAGCCCTCACCAGCGCCTCCACCTTTTTCGCCGCTAAATCAATGCGGCGAAAATCCAATACGCACTGGCTTGGCTCCCTCGGTGTGGCAACATGACCATTGGATTCCAATGGGTATGATGGATATCATAATGATACATACGTATATAGTATGACAGTATGACATACCAAAAAAATGATGAGCACATGTATCAAAGACAAAAAAAATATACTCCGAATGACCCCTATTTTGTGGATATTTAGATGTTATGGTGATGTATGGTTCAGAAAGTCTCGTCCGCCGGTTTGGATACTGATTCGGGATGGCTATCAGAACGCGTTGATCCACCAGTCAAACATATGGTTTGTTGAAGAGACTGTATGGATTGGTACCCCATTTTTTACTGAAAAGCCCAGAAAAGGAATAAATCGTACAGCAAACTTACCCGATTTCGCCGGGCTTCGTTTTGAGCTTCTCAATTTCGTTCAGCAATTTCGTGACCTGGCAGCAATCAGATTTTGATTTTTGGGGGTCCAAATCTCAAGAAGGGAATTCGAGTACCTTCATCCCAGGCAAAATCATACAACATACGGTATAGCGCAGTTTTTGGACATGTTCCCATTGTGCTCACTAAAAACGAAGTAAATAACTGGTTAAAGCAGATGGTATATAAAATAAGCAAGAAAACTGCTTTAGCATGAATTCCGATGATGGGCAACATTCTAGACATTTCAGGAGATATTATATATATATACACACACACACATTGCGCAACATATATATATATAATTATAGATACATAAAACATGATGGAAATCATAGTACCTGGAGGTTATCAGAGTGGCCTCTGGGTGAGGAGGAGCTGGCAGTTCCCAAAATTCACAAAATTCATGGATCCCCATATGTTGCCGTTTTTGGTCAGGAGGAAAGGGTGTTGGTGGGATTGAGCAACCAGACGATGCAGGATCGGCCTTCTCTTCCTGTAGCGCTGGTCCCACAACCACCACTCTTTCCTGCGCTCATCATTTTCCATTGAAAGTGGAAACTATAGGACCGGATAACCCCACATGACACCAATTTCAACTAGTAACTGGGAGAAAGGTAGGGAAAGAGGGGTGTGTGCGCGTGTATGTGTATGTGCATGTGTGTGTGTGTGGGAGGCGTTGGGTCTGGTGATTGGTTCCTTGATTTATGGTGATTGATTCACTGGTTTATGGTGATTGGTTCAGTGGTTTTTCACCATTCATTGCTGCCCGTTTTTCACCATTCAGTACTGCCCGTTTTCCTTTCCCCTTTTCGTGACGTTTTGATGCCGGTTTCAAGGTAGAGGTTTGGAACCATCTGTGCACTTGGTCCCAAAGCCCCAACAACAAAAACCCCCAAAAAGCAGGTAGGGAAAAAGTTAAGGTAGGGAAAAAGTTAACTTTTTCCCTGCCCCCTTTCGTGGCGTTTTGATGCCGTCTTCGAGGTAGAGGTTTGGCACTATCTGTGCACTTGGGCCCAAAGCCCCAACAACAAAAACCCCCCAAAAAAGAGGGTTGGGAAAAAGTTAACTTTTTCCCTACCCCTTTTCGTGGCGTTGTGATGCCGCTTAAAGGAGAAAAAACAACATGCCAAATACGTTTCTTTGAAATCTGTACAACGGGTCTTAATTTTCCAAGCCATGTTGCACTGGAAAGCCTCCCTTTTTCGCCAGGTAGATTCCTGGACAGTTATAGCCAACGTTTCCTAGGTAGATTCTTGGACAGTTATAGCCAAAGTTACACCCAGGTAGATTCCTGGACAGTTATAGCCAACGTTTCCTAGGTAGATTCTTGGACAGTTATAGCCAAAGTTACACCCAGGTAGATTCTTGGACAGTTATAGCCAAAGTTACACCCAGGTAGATTCTTGGACAGTTATAGCCAAAGTTACACCCAGGTAGATTCCTGGACAGTTATAGCCAACGTTTCCTAGGTAGATTCTTGGACAGTTATAGCCAAAGTTACACCCAGGTAGATTCTTGGACAGTTATAGCCAAAGTTAAACCCAGGTAGATTCCTGGACAGTTATAGCCAACGTTTCCTAGGTAGATTCTTGGACAGTTATAGCCAAAGTCACACCCAGGTATGTTCTTGGACAGTTGTAGCCAAAGTTACACATTCTTGGACAGTTATAGCCAAAGTTACACCCAGGTAGATTCTTGGACTGTTATAGCCAAAGTTACACCCAGGTAGGTTCTTGGACAGCTATAGCCAAAGTTACACCCAGGTAGATTCCTGGACAGTTATAGCCAACGTTTCCTAGGTAGATTCTTGGACAGTTATAGCCAAAGTTAAACCCAGGTAGGTTATTGGACAGCTATAGCCAAAGTTACACCCAGGTAGATTCCTGGACAGTTATAGCCAACGTTTCCTAGGTAGATTCTTGGACAGTCATAGCCAAAGTTACACCCAGGTAGATTCTTGGACAGCTATAGCCAAAGTTACACCCAGGTAGATTCCTGGACAGTTATAGCCAACGTTTCATAGGTAGATTCTTGGACAGTCATAGCCAAAGTTACACGCAGGTAGATTCTACAGTTATAGCCAAAGTTACACCCAGGTAGATTCCTGGATAGTTATAGCCAAAGTTACACCCAGGTAGATTCCTGGACAGTTATAGCCAACGTTTCCTAGGTAGATTCTTGGACAGTTATAGCCAAAGTTGCACCCAGGTAGATTCTTGGACAGTTATAGCCAACGTTTCCTAGGTAGATTCTTGGACAGTTATAGCCAAAGTTAAACCCAGGTAGGTTATTGGACAGTTATAGCCAAAGTTACACCCAGGTAGATTTCTGGACAGTTATAGCCAACGTTTCCTAGGTAGATTCTTGGACAGTTATAGCCAAAGTTACACGCAGGTAGATTCTTGGACAGTTATAGCCAAAGTTACACCCAGGTAGATTCCTGGACAGTTATAGCCAAAGTTAAACCCAGGGAGGTTATTGGACAGTTATAGCCAAAGTTACACCCAGGTAGATTCCTGGACAGTTATAGCCAACGTTTCCTAGGTAGATTCTTGGACAGTTATAGCCAAAGTTACACCCAGGTAGATTCTTGGACAGTTATAGCCAAAGTTACACCCAGGTAGATTCTTGGACAGTTATAGCCAAAGTTAAACCCAGGTAGGTTATTGGACAGTTATAGCCAAAGTTACACCCAGGTAGATTCCTGGACAGTTATAGCCAACGTTTCCTAGGTAGATTCTTGGGCTGTTATAGCCAAAGTTACACGCAGGTAGATTCTTGGACAGTTATAGCCAAAGTTACACCCAGGTAGATTCCTGGACAGTTATAGCCAACGTTTCCTAGGTAGATTCTTGGACAGTTATAGCCAAAGTTACACCCAGGTAGATTCCTGGACAGTTATAGCCAACGTTTCCTAGGTAGATTCTTGGACAGTTATAGCCAAAGTCACACCCAGGTAGGTTCTTGGACAGCTATATAGCCAAAGTTACACCCAGGTAGATTCCTGGACAGTTATAGCCAACGTTTCCTAGGTAGATTGTTGGACAGTTATAGCCAAAGTTACACCCATGTAGATTCTTGGACAGTTATAGCCAAAGTTACACCCAGGTAGATTCTTGGACAGTTATAGCCAAAGTTACACCCAGGTATATAGGTTATTGGACAGTTATAGCCAACGTTTCGTAGGTAGATTCTTGGACAGTTATAGCCAAAGTCACACCCAGGTAGGTTATTGGACAGTTATAGCCAACGTTTCCTAGGTAGATTCTTGGACAGTTATAGCCAAAGTACACCCAGGTAGATTCTTGGACAGTTATAGCCAAAGTTACACCCAGGTAGATTCTTGGACAGTTATAGCCAAAGTTACACCCAGGTAGATTCTTGGACTGTTATAGCCAAAGTTAAACCCAGGTAGGTTATTGGACAGTTATAGCCAAAGTTACACCCAGGTAGATTCCTGGACAGTTATAGCCAACGTTTCCTAGGTAGATTCTTGGACAGTTATAGCCAAAGTCACACCCAGGTAGGTTCTTGGACAGCTATAGCCAAAGTTACACCCAGGTAGATTCCTGGACAGTTATAGCCAACGTTTCCTAGGTAGATTCTTGGACAGTTATAGCCAAAGTTACACCCAGGTAGATTCTTGGACAGTTATAGCCAAAGTTACACCCAGGTAGATTCCTGGACAGTTATAGCCAATGTTTCCTAGGTAGATTCTTGGACAGTTATAGCCAAAGTCACACCCAGCTAGGTTCTTGGACAGCTATAGCCAAAGTTACACCCAGGTAGATTCTTGGACAGTTATAGCCAATGTTTCCTAGGTAGATTCTTGGACAGTTAGAGCCAAAGTTACACCCAGGTAGATTCTTGGACAGTTATAGCCAAAGTTAAACCCCGGTAGATTCTTGGACAGTTATAGCCAAAGTTACACCCAGGTAGATTCTTGGACAGTTATAGCCAACGTTTCCTAGGTAGATTCTTGGACAGTTATAGCCAAAGTCACACCCAGGTAGGGTCTTGGACAGCTATAGCCAAAGTTACACCCAGGTAGATTCCTGGACAGTTATAGCCAACGTTTCCTAGGTAGATTCTTGGACAGTTATAGCCAAAGTTACACCCAGGTAGATTCTTGGACAGTTATAGCCAAAGTTAAACCCAGGTAGATTCCTGGACAGTTATAGCCAACGTTTCCTAGGTAGATTCTTGGACAGTTATAGCCAAAGTCACACCCAGGTATGTTCTTGGACAGCTATAGTCAAAGTTACACCCAGGTAGATTCTTGGACAGTTATAGCCAACGTTTCCTAGGTAGATTCTTGGACAGTTATAGCCAAAGTTACACCCAGGTAGATTCTTGGACAGTTGTAGCCAAAGTTAAACCCAGGTAGATTCTTGGACAGTTATAGCCAAAGTTACACCCAGGTAGATTCCTGGACAGTTATAGCCAACGTTTCATAGGTAGATTCTTGGACAGTTATAGCCAAAGTCACACCCAGGTAGGTTCTTGGACAGCTATAGCCAAAGTTACACCCAGGTAGATTCCTGGACAGTTATAGCCAACGTTTCCTAGGTAGATTCTTGGACAGTTATAGCCAAAGTTACACCCAGGTAGATTCTTGGACAGTTATACACAAAGTTACACCCAGGTAGATTCTTGGACAGTTATAGCCAGATTATAGCCAAAGTTACACCCAGGTAGATTCCTGGACAGTTATAGCCAACGTTTCCTAGGTAGATTCTTGGACAGTTATAGCCAAAGTTACACCCAGGTAGATTCTTGGACAGTTATAGCCAAAGTTAAACCCAGGTAGATTCTTGGACAGTTATAGCCAAAGTTACACCCAGGTAGATTCCTGGACAGCTATAGCCAACGTTTCCTGGTAGATTCTTGGACAGTTATAGCCAAAGTCACACCCAGGTAGGTTCTTGGACAGCTATAGCCAAAGTTACACCCAGGTAGATTCCTGGACAGTTATAGCCAACGTTTCCTAGGCAGATTCTTGGACAGTTATACACAAAGTTACACGCAGGTAGATTCTTGGACAGTTATAGCCAGGTTATAGCCAAAGTTACACCCAGGTAGATTCCTGGACAGTTATAGCCAACGTTTCCTAGGTAGATTCTTGGACAGTTATAGCCAAAGTCACACCCAGGTAGGGTCTTGGACAGTTATAGCCAAAGTTACACCCAGGTAGATTCCTGGACAGTTATAGCCAACGTTTCCTAGGTAGATTCTTGGACAGTTATAGCCAAAGTTACACCCAGGTAGATTCTTGGACAGTTATAGCCAAAGTTACACCCAGGTAGATTCCTGGACAGTTATAGCCAACGTTTCCTAGGTAGATTCTTGGACAGTTATAGCCAAAGTCACACCCAGGTAGGTTCTTGGACAGCCACAGCCAAAGCCACACCCAGGCAGATTCCTGGACAGTCACTGGCCGGAGTTGAGCCCGGGTAGATTCCTGGGCGGTTGTTTTCCCAGGTAGATTCTTGGACAGTTATAGCCAAAGTTACACCCAGGTAGATTCTTGGACAGTTATAGCATGTTATAGCCAACGTTGTGATGGATCTTGATGTTACCAACAAAAATGGAGGCGAGGATGATCCAACCCGAGATAATGGCTGGCACTGCAACTCTCAGCATCATTACTCATTTGTGCGCTCCTTTTCTCTTGGTACACGAACTTGAATGTTCGCTGGACTCAAGCTCGGCTTTTCCTGGAGGCGAGCCGAAACGCTGTGAACAAACCCATTCGGCTCTTGCATGATGAGGAAATTTCAGCCAAACCATTGAGTTTCTTTAAAAACAACTCCACGAATTGGTGATTCTGAGCCCAAAATGTTGGTGGTGCCACAAACCCCAAGAGGTGCTTTTTATATTATATAATGGAGGCTACAAATGGGATTGATGACGATATCTCGAACCTACAAAGGACAGCAATGCGGTCAACAATCCCATTTGTAGCCTTGGCTGCTGCCTCACCAGTCTCGGCTGCCTCAAATGGTAGCAGGGTGACTGACTCAGGGTGTATGGACTCTGTCATAGCGTGATGGACTTAGTCTAGGTTCGTGTTAGCAAGGCAAGGCAGCAACTTTCTGTCGGAGTTCCGCAAACGAATATGCAACCATTCACACTTAAACCAATGACGTCAAATATCCAGCTGCTTGAACATTTATGACTATGACTATACCGAACCAGTGGACACCCCAAACATTCTGGTATGACTATACCGAATCAGACACCAATGTCCACAACGTAACTTTTGACAGTAACGAATCTCCAGGTCAACAGTGTGGCTGAGATGTTCTTTTGGGTTCACAATGTAAGTGTTTTTCCCGGGCCCAGGAAGCTCCAATTTCAAGCAGCCGCACCGCACCGGCCTCATTACATTCGAGGATAATCGGCATGTTGAATTTTGCAAGCTTTGGCGGTTTTTTTTTGAGCTGAAATGGCATGCGTTAGAATTTCAGTAGAAAGAGCGCTGCTAAAAAGGGAAAAACACTGTCAAGTGAGAGTTTCCGGAACTTTTTCGTGGCGCAATTCTGGGGCAGCTTTAAGTCCAAATGGGAGGCTTGCGTAGCGCGCCAGCACGTGTGTCTGGAGCACTTGCTGCGCAGGCCAATGATCGGATCTCCGGGAACCGATGCAAAATTATAGACACATTTTTTTGCACACTCGGGTGGTGGCTCTCAGTTTCCAATCGAATGATTTCTGCAGCAAACATTTGCTTGAGACGCAATGCACCCCAGTCCAAATCGTCGAAGACATTCAGCGAAGCTCCGAGAACTACCGTTTGCCCCTTTGCGTCCAATGAATTGTTGTGTTCTATCCAGCAGGTCAACAAGTGGGTGATTGCTCCAGGGTTGCTCGCCCACCATAGTCGAAAAGCCGGTGCGCCGGCGTCGAAGATGCACATGAGACCTCAGGGCTCCAACATTCATCCGTGCCATGACCATCAGTTGGTCACACTCGGCATTCAATACCCTCAACATGAACTAGCTGAATTTTGCATGTCTCATGTGCTGGCTTCAACTGAAGAATGTTCTTTACACTCTTCAAACCATGTTCCAGAAGAACACAAGTGAATGCTAGTGATCTGTTTCTAACATAGTTGCGCCTCGAAACCGCGCGAAGAGTTGAAAGCGGTCCCGAGCAAACACTTGCGCGCACTCCCGCGCTGGAAGCTTCTCTTTGTTGTAAACAATATCTGCAGCTGCCACGATTGCATCAGGCCTGGCAACCGATTTGCATTTTCAAGCGCGGTCTTCCCTGCCACGCTACACTTTCACAGTCTGACATCTGAGGGATTGGCGTTTCAGGTCGTACAAGCTGCACAAGGTGAGCAACAAAAGCCTGGGCCACCCAAAAAAAAACAATGCGCAAAAACGAATCTCAACAAAGCGCAGCAGCGCAGGCCTTCGGTGAGTAGTTCTCACGAGCTGTGGCTCGCTGAGCACACAGTGCCGGCACATCAAGATAGGATGATATTTGGTTTCTCAACCTTAGGGCTGAGCAAAGCCTTTACCCAGATCTGAGTCGCTCAACTTGGATTTGTGATTTGCGATTCCAATTGAAATCAGCAAGCCGGCTGTTCTGCCCAAGACACTCAGGAAGCCAGAAACTAGCAGAAAGTTGCGCTGGCTTCCTCATTCAGCGAAGGGGCCATCACACTCTTTTGGTTCAAGGGCACAGTTCCAAGTTTCATTTTAATGGCAAAGTGAGGAATGGTCTTTTGGAAACTTCACAACTGCAGATCTTCCCAACCGAACCTTGGGGCACCAGATGCAAAGGCCTTAGAAATGAGTCAGATCTTTGGTGCACAACTACAGTGAATCCAGCAGAAAAAAAGAAAAACGAAAACGATTCTCATAATGTCCGAATTCTGACCCGCTGATTCGCCGTTGATCCCTGAGACCGACCTTGTCGGCTTCGGAATCACTAGGTTTCATCAGGGCCACACCTCCGCAGCGCTTGGCTCAATTTAGGCAACCGAATGTGAACACCTTGATACGAGTGGATGCTAGCTTCAGCTGAAAGTGGGCTATCCACCGACATGGCATCAAATGGCAAGCTTGTTGGCGGACATGATGATAAACCATGGGACTTCGGGGTGGGCGCAAGATTGAAAATGTTCCGACAAACCCATATAGTAAGTGTTAACGAAGAAAACAAGGAGGTTGCATTTTGATCCTGACATGATTCAAACAATTCAAGCGTTAGACTATCTGCATCTCTATCTTGCCTAATTACTACGTTACAGACTTTGCATGCTCGCCGACAAAACTGGGATAGTTGGCTGGCTTCAGAAACTACAGCAAGGGTGCAAACTATTTTGTCTCAAAACCGTGGCCTCAAAGAATCAGTTTAATCAGGGTGGAACTTCCAGAAGTTTTCGCCGAGTTTAGGAGCCATTTTCTCAGAGGGTGTGCATGTCAAATCTCAGACAGTTTTAACTAAATTATGTTCATCTTCTAAACAGAAGCTCAAGGCCATTGTAACTCTCAAAAATGAAAAGATTTGACTAATGTCAACTCAAGATTCCACAAATTAGAAGATCAAGAAGCCAAGACATGGCCCGTATAGTTTCTGACGCTTCACATCTTGGTCGATTGTCCACTCCATCTCAACCCCAACCCACCCCATGTGTTCATACCATCTTCAGCCTGTATGCTGTTCGAAACACATTTAAAAACTAGTGGTGCAATTGGGCAGCCCCCCAACAGGAATCGCCACTGTACTCTTTAAAACATGTGTTCGAATTGTATCTGTCACTTCATCACGTTGTGTAACTCGTAACTCCCTACGTCGGTGGCCCTTTGGCCTTCACTTGCAGCACCGCTGCTGCATTGCCTGGATCGTGGCAGTCAGACAAGAGTTAAAATGTGAAAGATAGAGGTTTGGCGCATCACAGAAGACATGTGCCTTCCCCTATTTTTTTTACGTACAGCTTTCTATAAGGCCAGGAGACTCAAGGAGCATCTCAGCCTTATCGTATCCGGAAGTCCTCGCATGAAGTTGCTGAATCAAATACCTAAGGCCAAATACCGTATATTTAATATTATTGTGTATTATATTATGATATGACAAAATCATCATAACCGGTGACTGACCAAAATGACTTTTGATGTACTCTATCTGGTCATTTTTATTGCAGAATGAAGTAGAATGCATGCCATCTTCTGTCCACGTCCTGACAGCCAAAACGCATCCACTAGAACGACCCTGCCTCCCAAGATATACGCGCTTGTTTTCCTCGGGTACCTGCCAGAAACAAAATTGGATATCCTCACCATATGTTGCCTTAAGTGGCGAAGGAAAGCATGGTGCTTCCCTATTGTCGCAGTATTCCGCGAACTTTTTACGTACGCTTCTCTGAAGCTTGGTTATTGCAGTCCCAGCTTCAGGTGTAATTACTTCTGCTGTTGCAGATTTGCCCTGTCTGATATGTCGGATTTTACTACGGATGCACTTTTGCTCGGATTTTACTACGGATTGTAGCAGTCATTCTTAGGCAGACACCAAAACACAAGTTCAAAACTCATGCTGATATGGCTCGGCCTTGTCATTTTCCTCCTTTGGGTCACCCGAGGATGGTTCAGGCAAGTCTTGGGCAGGTTGCAAAAGAGTTTAGTTCTCGCTTCCCTTCTTCCCTTAGTTGTGTCTGTCACGTTATATACGTCGATACCTGTAGGCACAAAATTTCTTGGATTATAGTCTTGTTCTTAGTGGTAAAATCATGGACACGCTGGTTGGTTTGTCCTGATGTTTTCCTGGTGTTGGTTCGAACTGATGATCAACTGTTCATCAACATTGTGCTTTTTGCCAACCTCTTCCAGTTTTCCGCAAGATATTCATCTGTGGCCTTCACTATTGTTGGTTGCAACTTCTCTCATGTCTCGGTTTTAGTTTTTGTCGATCTACAATCTATATACAGTACTGTAGCTGTTCGTCGAAATGCTGGCTCTGCAAACAGTGTCCCGGGTTTTTGTTTCTGTCAAGTGTCAAATCTGGCCCACAGCTGATGTGCTGATGTCTACATTTTACCCAGTTTTTGCTCCAAAAAACGTCCCTCATCCAGAGTCTCTTCAGTGTTCGTCAGGCATGTTTTGTTTCTCTTCGCGTTCTTGTTTCGTATTGCGCAACGCATGACACAAACCTGTGAAGACCATTGCGATCTTTGGGTCCTTTGATCAAGTTCGTATGTTAACTGTGCGTTGGTGACGGAAAGGTGTTTAAAAGACAACAAAAACCAGAACTTGCCCCAGTTGTCTAAACCCTTGTCTTTGCATGTCTTTGTGATGTAAATGTCGATTCATGCTTTGGCGGAGAAATGTTTGATTGTATGACGACTCAACCCTTCGACAGCGCCACTAGAACATGCAAACAAAATGGTAAGCGCCTCAGATGTGCCCTGTATGTCGGAGCTTTCTGTCGCAGTCGTCTACGTCAAATGCATCAACAAGTTGCAATGGAATTTGAAAGGCGCCTGTCAAAAAAATCCTACTATGATGCAAAACAAATGACCTCATCACTTGGCTATCTTTGTTGCAGCAGGGAAAAAAAACTGCGACAGACAGGTTTACCTCTTGACTATCAAAAAACTTGAGGCCGGGGGTGGATGACGAAAGCTAGCGGGGTAGGAGAAAGAAGGAAGGGAAGAGGTGAGTTGCGGAGGGACTGTCATCATCGTGTCGCGGCATTGTTCGTCCCAACGAGGATGCAACAATGATATATGATATATGATATATAACAATGATATATATGGGGGAGGGGGCAGGGGGGGGGCCCTTTCGCGTGAAAAATCACGTGATGTCCTTGGGGAGCCCCGGAATACTTGCTAAAGCAAGAAGACTCTAGCGAGCTGACGCTACCTTTCGTGATAATGCCAACAATTGCCAATAATGATGAAATGTAAGTGAATAACGATGATTATGATGATGATGATGACGACGATGACGATGACGATGACGATGACGATGACGATGACGAGGACAAGGACGAGGACGATGAGGATGATGATGATGATGATGACGATGACGAGGACGATGGCGAGGACGATGGCAATGATGATGATGATGACGACGATGAGGATGACGATGACGATGATGATGATGATGATGATGATGGTGATGATGATGATGATGACGATGAGGATGACGATGACGATGACGATGACGATGACGATGATGATGATGATGATGATGATGATGCTGCCGATGATGATGACGATGACGATGATGATGACGATGAAGATGAAGATGAAGATGATGATGATGATGATGATGATGTTGATGGTGGTGGTGGTGGTGGTGTGGTGGTGGTGGGGGGGGGGGGGAGGGGGGAGGGGGGAGGGGGGGGGGTGAGGTAGCTTTCCCCTTTGAGGGAGCCCTGGATACTAATGTACAACACCTGTGGTAAGCTAAGCGACTACACTCCTTTTTACACGCGGAATTGCTGCTAGTCTTGAGCCATGCGGAGCGCGCATGAAAGAGATGAATTATGTATACATGTCAACATGCATGACAGCATTGTGTAGACACGTAAACAAAAATAAATCACAAACAGACACAAATTTTCTTCGTGTCGGAACATGCAACTCTGTTTCACAGGTAGCGCTCAGCCTGTGATCTGCTGTGAGACGGTCCGAAGACAAAAACAAAACTGTACAAAAAGCTACTCTCCGCTGTTGGCAAGCGGTTGTTCTCGGCTGTTGGCAAGCGACCGCAAATGCGGAACATTGCAATTTTTGGGGCTACAAGCCCATAGTGAAATAGTAACCGTAGAAACTCAATTCGTTCCTCCTTCTGAGCTCACCGGTCTGATGAAAGAAAATGGACTGATCCGGTGTTTGCGGAATTAGGTCAAGCCACGATCCGTCGTATTTTTGAACCCAACGCTGTCTTGGTACTTGGTACCCTGGGACGTATTCTACATTAGAGGTATGAGGATTCACTCTATAGTATGACGGCTGATCATAGGTGTAACCGTAATTACGGTACCCGGAAGAGCTTGAAGCTGTTCCTTGGTCAAGCCATTGCGAACCCGTCATGCGGGATGGAGGCGCAGGAGGCTCAGGTACGTTGATTGGCCTTTTTCTGGTTGTTTGCCTCTGGTCGGCCTGCTGCGATCTCTCTCTCCACGGCGGTGGAGTCTTCGGTGGACCTGGCGGATCGGGTGGCGTTCTTGGCTGTTGTGAACCTAATGTTCGTCCGGTCGCCGGAACTGGAGGTGCCTTGACAGGCGGCCGAGCACTTGAGGAAGATCCCGACGACTTCGGTTCTGATGATTGTTTGAGAGACATCGGTGCTGCTTTATATTGCACTGGTTTAGGATTCACTGCTGGACCTCGAGCAGGTGCCGGAGGCGGTGCTGGTGTTTCAGTCTTGGGTCGATAGCTTCTGGTCCTGCTGACCGATCGACTTCGAGTCCGTCCAACATTCCGGTGTGAATCAGTCCGCAAAGGCGGAACGCTGTCTCTCCTTTCTTCTCGTTTGTCGAGATATCCTTGAGTTTTCTGCATCCATTTTTCACGTCTTTTATCTTCAGATTCCTTGGATCGGATGCGCATATTTTTCAATGATTTTAACTGGGCATATGTAAGTAGAGGTGAATGCCATCCACAGTCCTTCTCAGCCAAACCAAGATCATATGCCAGCAAATGTTTTAACTGTTCAACATCGTTCAACATAATTTCGTCTGAAAAAACTGATCCTGCAAATCCATCCGCAGAAGCGGATTCTTCCTTGGCACGTGCTTCCGTGACAGCGATCTGCTTACCGTAACAAAGAGAAATTAAAAGCATTGAATCACAGTCAGCATCATCTCCACGCATGCTTCGGATGTAATCAGCGGCAGTGGTCGATGAAACTACGTTATACGTAATACGGTTGATTGGACTGCGATGAAGGTTGATCTGCTGGAGAAAGCGCTCAAGGATGTCGATCATAATGCATGTCCGGAAATCGGAATGATCATCAGACTTAAAACTTCGCTGTGCGAAAAGGTTGCCGTCGCCGGACAAAAAGTCACACTGGTGCTCGACACAGCTTGCGACAAATTGGAGCCATTTCTGGCACGTCTCTTGATAAGCACCACTCCATGCATATGAAGAAATATGAAAAACCGCTACACGGCATTCAGCTAACATGAGACGTCGTACGTCATGGGTGTCAGCACCAAGATTCACTTCACAGACTTCCACGCCGGAGACGGCAAGATCATCGTCTCCGTCGATTTCGCAGATCGAGTGATCAAGAAAATCAAGTGTTGATGCAAGTGGGCGATCATGCTGATAAACCGTAGATTCGGCATTTTTCTCGATGTCCGGTTTCGGAACACGAGCGCCAGAAGAAGGGTCAACAAATTCTCCTGACGTATTCATGCCATGACAAAGGCGAAAAATGGCGCCATGCAAAATCCAGAAAGGCGAATCTTTATTGGCTGTTACAATCTGGTGTTGACATAAAAGTTCAATAAATGAGCCTGCATCATGTGAGCCACGGAGAAAAATTGCAACGGACTGTGATTGAATTGCCGGGTGGACTACCATGCCGATCATCCCATACTCTTCGGCAAGTTCTCGATGGAAGGCAATTCCTCCGTATTCGTCGGAAGCCTCGCACAAGCACACAATATGGGCCGCATTATGGAACACTAAATGTGGCAAGGCACGATGGTTAATATCTGTTCTGACCCATTTTGGAAATTTTGAACAACCTCCGATATACGGAATACGGTTGATGTGACCAAGGTTCAACGTCAGAATGCCAAGCTGATACGTGTCCTTCTGAAATTCATGGATGTTCTCCTTAGTGCGCTTGGCAACACCGAGGATTGCTCTTTTTCCAAGA